CGAGCACCTCATCCCCGGCGAATCCGAAAACAGGTAACGTTTCCCCATTTCCGAGCTCGCCGTCAAGCCGTTTTCACGACCTCCGACATCCGTTGTTCCTCGTCGGCAAAAAATCGATCCCGCAGCTTCACCGGTAATTAGGGTTCTCATCCCTTAATTTTTTGTGCTCACCGGAATTAGGGCTAAGGCTTTGCAAATCGATATTTGTTCTTCTTTCACTTAAAATCAATTTTGTTTTGTGAAAATAAAACACAGTTCACCGGTCAAGTAATTAGGGTTCACTTTTCACCAACGATCGACCCGAGTTTTGTTCGACGAACCGAGCCACGTCGCAACCCAACCGAACACTGTCGCGACGAACCTTAACACCCGCAATCTCCGAGCTCTGACCTCCAGCCGGTTAGTCTTCCTTTTGCGACGATCGTCCTTATCATCCGACCTCTTCCGACCTTTTAGGGTTAGTCTTCTTTTTATGTTGTGCCTTTTATGCACTATTTTGGCCGGGATCTTGTGATGTTGTTGAGCTTTAGTTTCAGTTTTTGAAGGGTTAAAGGCATGCTAGATTTTCTAAGTTTGTTGAAATTTTGAAGCTTGATTGTGTGTGCTTTGTTGTAGTTGTGATGAACCATTATGCTCAGAGATGCTAGATTTATTAAGTTTGTTGAAATTTTGAATCTTGATTTTTGTATGCTTTGTTGTATAAAGTAGTTGTGATGAACCACTTATATAAATTATTTTCAGACCCATGAAGTCAAGATCTCTGTATATTCTTGGGGTTATTCTGCGATTTCGAAAGACACGATTCCTAATTTATCTTAAAGCAAATGGTATGGATACTTCAAATAGAAGAGTGATGATCAGATAAGATTATAATGTTAATCGTTATAATAATTAGTTTATTTATGTGCTTAAATATCAGAAATATGATTGGTGGTTTGTCAAATTAAAGACTTTTGATTAGACTAATGCATCCTAATTCGGCAAATTCTCTTCATTAGGTAGTTGACAAGTTCCCTAACTTTACAGCTCGGTTTCTCCATGATGCCTGCATCTCAATCCTAGTGGTTCCTCTACTGCTATCAGGATTAAGATGATGCCACTATTTTAAACCCTTTCCCAGGGAATCTTTACTTCTACTTTCCATCTGAAATAGCCACTGTTCTACTCTCTGTGAAGCACCTTCTATAAATTCCTTCATTATTATATCTTTTTCCTTTTTTTTTCTACCAACCAATGTGTGAATATTTGACTCCACCGAAAGTTCGATTCGAAAGATATATAAAATGGTTTTCTCAATACTGAACCCTCCATATCATTTGTACTGATCAAACACTGTAAGGTTGGGTACTGGATGGAGTCAAATGGTCTCTATCTGCAGTTTTTTAAGGAAAAAACATGTGATGAGGTAAGATAGATCATCTGGTTGATAAAGCCCCCAGGAATATTCAAGCCTTGAAACAATGAGAACCTAATAATCATGACCATTATGAAATTCCACTAAACCACAAACTAGTGAAAACCAAATTTGTCCTCCCCAGCAAGAGATATATTGAGAGAATCTGCAGCAAACCTATTTAAGCAAAAGAAGCAATCTGAAGAGCAAGTTGGATCTACTAAGCAAAGGGAAAACATTTGTACGTATTATCTTCTTATTGCATTATGAGTTAAGAAACCACCGAATAAAGTCTTGTAGGTATAGGCACAGCTCCATTATAGATGCATCTTAAGGAAGACTAGTACCATTTTCAAAATTTACTATATGCGAACTCAGTCACAGATAACTGCCTGGGAGGATGGTCAGACCTCATGCAAGCTCAGCAACCATTTTCATTAGAGAAAATGGCGCATTGGAAAACTTGATCACGTTAGAAGTAGTCTAACAAATGGAAACCAATCTACTATCTCCATTCTTTTTAAACCAAATTAAATATAAATCGAAGATGCAGACATTCCACTTGGTCATCCACATTGCAGTTATTAAAACACATGTTTCTTACTGATATTAGCTTAGATTCCTAATTCTGGAGATATTTTTTTTTCATTTGTAGAGGATTTAAAATTGTCTAATCAAGACTTTGAACTGCATTTTAGGAAATAATTAATTATAAAAAACTCGACAACAAAAGACAAGAACTGATATTAAATATATTAGAAGGCAACAAATAAATGTTTTGTGTTTCAAAGTCAGATGTAACAATCAAGCATAGTTACTAATGGTGAAGGTGAGCCGTGACAATCTGCTCATGGCCTGGACTTGTGGGGCGAGGTCATGGAACTGCCTCGTGACTATGAGGGCACAATTGATAATCAAATGAATAAAAACTTTCATGAGTGTGTAAGTTGTTTTACATGAGTAAGAATTGTTCACTGCCTTGATTTTGTTATGCTTCAGTTATTTTATTATGAGTTTGTAGAAAAGTGAAATAAGTAAGATATTTTAACGACTAATTCTGATATTCTATTGTACTTTGTAGAGTAGTTTGATTTATGTGAATACAATTGTACTTTTTTGGGACTAAGACGAATCCTTGATATGATATGCTTTGTCGAAGTTTATGATTTGATTATGCGTTTGTAGACAAGTGAATGAAAATATATTTTGTTGCTTACTATTATATTCACACATGTTTTCTACAGTTTGTAGTTTGATTTATATGGATAAAATTGTAATAGCTGGGACTAGGTTTGATCTAGGTTGGATCCTTGATATGCTCTTGGTAGAAATTTGATGATTTGATTTTGAGTTTTAGACAAGTGAAACAAGTATAGATATTTTGATTTTTGACTGACTTTGAGTCTTACTTGCTTAATTTCTAAAGTAGTTGAGTAGTGTGAATAAAATTGCATACCTAAAAAAATAGTTATATCTATGTCCATAGAGTCACCTTAAAATCTTATGAGTTCTAGTTACACTAAATTTTTCCATTTAGTGTTCATTTACTACTTTTTCGTCAATACGATCCATTTACTCATTTTGAAAATTCTTATTCAACAGTTGCAGACAAAGTACATGACGGAGCAACTTCGCATCCATTTGTTTCCTGCTTGTGTCAATGTTAATTTTATGACTTTCTACAGATGAAGGCACAAAATTTATGTTCATGTATAGAGTCCATGTTGGCAAGTGACTACCCTTTATAAACTCCCATTTTTGTGGGAATTTTTCGATAGATGATCTTTTCTTATTAGTGTGTATATTTATCTACTTTTATGAGGCTTCGTATCGGCAGAGACATGTACATATAAAGATGATAATTTATTCCAAATGGGGTGTTTCTAATCATCATTGACAGGCATGAAAATTGGTTGGTGGTTGAGTAGAAAATTCATTTACTCCACGATCTTTGACCTGTAAGGTAACATATATAGTAGGTACTTGGAACAATTGGGCCAAATTGTGCAAGTCAAATTCACAAGAAATTCTCCATTTTTCCAACTCTCCTTTTTCATTCGGCATCAAGAAGTGAAATCGATACTTACATGTGTGTTTGTCTCCACCAACAATGTAATTAACTCTATTTAAAAAGTCTTCATACGACAAACTCTCCAAACGCATAAAGTTCATCTCTGCCTGTCCATTTTTATGAACATTCTCATCCCAAAATCCGCTATGCACAATTCAAACTTTTTCACACATCTGTAAATCAAAGATGTTAAAGTATTTAATGACAAACAATTTCAAATAATTATTTGAGAATTAAGTAATCAATGTTTACAATAAAACAAATAAAATGGTTTATAAAATGATTTTTGAAATCACACAAATTGTTTATACGATTCGAAAAACATTTTTGGGATGTATCTACTGTTTCTGAGATCCCATAAACTGTGTTGGGGATTCAAAACAGATTTCTGGGACAAGAAATCGATTTCTGGGTTAAAAATATGATTTCTTGCCCAGAAATCATTTTCTGGGACCAGAAATATTCTAACCCTTCTGGTCCCAGAAATCGATTCTTTGTCCAGAAAATTGATTTCTGGTCCCAGAAATCATTTTTCGGCCCAGAAATCACATTTCTGGGACTAGAAACGAGATAATCTGGAAAACAATTTCTGGGTACCAGAAATTACATTTTCGACCCAGAAATCGATTTCGTGACAAGAAATCGATTTGTTCACATTTCCGTCCCAGAAATTGATTTCTGGGTCAGAAATGTGATTTCTAGTCCAGAAATCGATTTCTTGTCAAGAAATCACACCAGAAATCAGAAATCATATTTCTGGCCCAGAAATCACATTTTTATGACTAGAAATGAGATAATCCAGAAAACGATTTCTGGGTCCCAGAAATCGCATTTCTGGCCAAGAAATTACATTTCTGACCCAGAAACTGATTTCTTGACCGGAAATATGATTTATGGGCTAGAAATTAATTTCTGGACTAGAAACGAGAAGATCCAGAAATCGATTTCTGGGTCAGAAATCGATTTCTGGGACAAGAAACGAGACTATCTAGAAATCGATTTCTGGGCCCAGAAATCATTCAATGTTCCAAGAAATCTATTTTATATTTTTTTTGCCATATTTATTTTATTAATTTTAATAGTATATATATGTGGGCCCATTAAAAAAAAGATAAATTTTGTTAAGAGAATGATTTTTTTTTTTTTGAGATTAATGAATGAAAAGAGTTAATGAAAATGTAAATGAAAGAGAGAAGAGAGATGAACTTTTTTTAAAAAAAAAATGATAGTAAAGGTATTTTAGTCTTTTCATGTGCCAAATGGCTAAAAAAGATATTTTTTTAAAACTACGGCTAAAATTTGTGTTAGCCATTTCAACATGGCTAAAAAAAATTCACTGCATTATCATATCATAAGCATGAATAAACAATTTCAATATATATTAATCATCTTCGGGTCCAACAAACAAACAATATATATAAACTCTCAACAAATAATTGCACAAACGAAGCGAAGCAGCAAGAAAACGGATGCGCTTGGGTTTGACCTTGAGACTTAGAGTTCGTTCCTTTTGCTGTTAATCAATTACAACAGCTGCAGCAGAAGGAAAATAAACATTAATTTTTAAATCAATCACTCATATAACTAATATCAATAGTCTACACCAACCCAAATTAAAACAACAGAAACACAATAATTAACAATAATTACTTGGAAATAAGAATAATTAAATTAATCCACCAGATTGATTTTTTTTTTTTTTTTGGTACAGGGACCTTCCGGTTTCCGGATCCACAGGGAAACCGACTAATCCGGAATCGAGCCGGGTATGACCACAAGGGCGGCAAAGCTCTCCCTCAAGAGTTTTAACACTGCTGCATTCCCAGGGCTCGAACACGAGACCACTGGTTAAGCTGGAAGAGACCCAAGCCATCTCATCCAAGCGCTCTTGGGTACCAGATTGATTTATTTTAAATCTGCATGAATATAAAATTTACGCTGCGACGGCGGCATCAATATCAATATCAATCTGCTTATTTTTCACATACATCCCGTAGAGATAGGAAGAGAAGCCCCAGACGCAGACGAGTGCCGCCACAGCCTTGACCCCACCAAACTCGTCCCCGTAAACCACCACCCCTCCCACCACATTTGCGGCCATGAGCCCCGTCATGCAGATCCCCCCAGTGAGTGACGTCGTCAGGAATACCATCCCGGCCGTCCCCACGAAGCACAACTGCCACACAACTATATTCCCGCCGATCGTCACCCAGTACACCGTCGGCCCCTCATCGAACCCGCCCCTGCTCTCCACCCTCATGTCCGCGAACCCACCGCCCGCCCACATCCCAGCCCCCGCGAACGCCGTGGCCACCACCTCCATCACCAGCTGCATCTCCACCACCATGCCGTAGCAATCGACCTGCCGGTAGATGACCTCCATCACTGGCAGGTACAGGGCAAACAAAAGCCCCGCGCCAAGGGTCGAAAAAAACCCCACCCATAAATGCTCTCCGGGCGGCCTGTCCTTGTTGGAGCTAAGGGCCAACAGGACGGAGCTCATAGTCAACAGCACAACACAATTTAGGTTGAGAAAATTGAGCTTCTGGTTTACTATGAGGAAGGAGAGAATGAGATTGAAGGCTAATTGTGAGGAGAGAAGGAGAGAGAAGGTAGAAACGGGCAAGTAGGAATTCCCCAAGGAAAAGAGTAAATTGTTGACTCCCAATAAAAGCCCCACGCCAGCTGACAGCAGCAGCAGGCGCCGGGTCAGCCCAGTAAAGGGCCGCCTCTTAATGCACCCGAGGATGAAAGGGAGATAAATGGGTGCCAGCAGAAGAGGAAACCCCGCAGACTGGACAAATGTGGACACCCATTTGCTTGACCCCTTGTGGATGAAATAGTATTTCGAAATCAGGGTCGATGATATCGAGCCCGAGAAGAGCAGCGCGTAATTCAGTACTACAAGGAGGGTGTACTTTCTTTTGCTCCATTTTCTGCTACTTTTTTGTTCTTCTTCTTCGTTAGTCTTATTTGGGTTTTGACTGGAAACTCCAGCCGCCCCCGGCGGTGGGAATAATTCAACGGAAGGCGAATTAGCCATGATTATTGCTCTTTTTATTGAGGGTGGTGTAAAGCAAGAAAAACAAGTATACATATATGTTTATGAGATTTACTTGCAACGTGACCTTTTCATCCCGAGATAAAGAAAAAGGCCAAAAAGAGGGAAAGGTTGGTCAATAATCATGGAACTTCATGAAGGGGGAAAATAAAATCAAATTGGATATATGAATAATGAAAAAAGGGATAATTATAAAAAAAAAGGTTGTCTGCAGTGCACAACAGTAAAAAAGCATATAGGTTTTCTGCATGGCATTTATGGTAAAAGAGTCCGAATTAATGAAATTTGATTACGACCTACTTTATTTTTCTACGTTGGTAATATATAGCAAAAGACAGAAAAAAACAGAGATTGCGTTGGATATCCCCTATATTCCTGTCCCTATATATTAATTCAGAACGCGCTAAGTCTACGTAGTTGCTTCTGGTGCTTCGAAATTTTATGTAGCAAAATTACATGATTCGTTATTAGGTTTGGGTAAATTTTAATTTAATTTCAAACCAAAAGTAATTAGGTTCGGATTACCATAAATATGTTGATTATTTATGGTCATGTTACATGTATTAATTGCATTTTAATATCATTCCTTATTATAACTATTGAATTGTATATATATTTTAAAAGTTAATAGTTTTTGTATTTTTTATCAGTTTTACATATGTAATATATCAAATTAATCTTTTTTTGATGAGCTTCGATTTAACATCCATATTGTATGTATAAAAAAATAATTTATATTTATTTTTATAACAATAATAAAATTATTTTTAATATTAATTAAAAAAATAATGTTATTTATCAACTAATATATTTATATTTCAAGTAGTTATATGATATAAGTTATAAAAACTAATATAATATAACACATGTATGTCATATGTAACACATATCATTCTAAAATATATAGTAATATATTTTTTTTGTAAAAAAATAAACTAGATTTAATATAGTTTTCTAATTAATTTTAAAATTTAAAAATAATTTTTTAACAAGCACTAGTGTAATACACGGGTGTTGTACAAGTGTAGGATGATTTCGAAAGGCTAAATTGTAAAATATAGTTAGCATCTTCTATGTGGTGACAATAATAGCTATCATCTTTATGAATTGGCAATATTAGCCAACAACTTCCAAAATTTTGAGATTATTACCCAAATCCAACCAAATTCGACAGATAAATTGAAAAATAAAATCAATATCTTTTTACGCAGTTTTTGGCGGACATGGGAAATAACACGAAAATTTTGAAAGTTATTGGCTAATATTGTCAATTCATAAACATTGTGGCTAATATTGTCACCGCCCTTGTGGTCCTACCCGGCTCGATTCCGGATTAGTCGGTTCCCCTGTGGATCCGGAAACCGGAAGGTCCCTGTACAAAAAAAAAAAATATTGTCACCACGTACAAGATACTGGCTATATTTTGTAATTAAAAAAAAATGTAGGGTGATTTCGACTTTCCTTATGGGTATTATTCTTGTGAGTTTTCCAGCTCTTTGATTTATACTTATTATATACACATCTATGCAGATATGTGTAAAATCAATGACTAACAAGTCCAAAGGAGCACTGTCCGAAGGGACATGCATGATATTTATTAAATGCACGGGGTTGAAAAAATATAAAATTTTCACCATACAGTCTAATTTGTTGTATTACGATCCATATCATTTTCATTTTCGATCAAAAACGTCTTGAAATTTATTAAATATTAAAACTTATAGGTCATTACTGGTTTATTGAAGTTCAGTGGAACTACTTTTGAAATATTTACAAAGATAGAGATTATTTTGAAATTTCATAAAGCCATATAGATGTGATGTGTCAGATAGTTAATATGGCACGTAACGTGTCATTTCCGGTGATAGTGATGGACTTTCGACGAATATTGTCTTTATTTAATTATTTTATAATGTCACATGATTACTATTGTTAAACAACATTCCAATGATTTAGTTTCGAA